TGTCAACCTCTAACTGAGCCAACTTCCTCTTCACCTCATCTTGCATTTCCTTTTGCTCTTTATCTATCTTATCCAATATTCATTTCATGTCCTTAGTTACTTTCCTTGTACTGTACGTGTGAGGAGTACCTTTACTTTTAACAGGGGCTAGGATCATTACGATCAGGAACTCTTCCTTATTATTATATCGTTTTATTAAATGAATGTTTAAATGTATAGTCTTAAAATGTAAATGCAATGCATGATGCATGTATGCAAAATATATTGATCCCAAAATAAACAGTTCATAAAAAGATTCTTAAAACACACAATGTCTAAGCAAACTGGAAAGGCGAAAATCAAAAATTACAAATAAAATCTAGTTTTATCTCCTAGCTTCTTAATCCCTAAAATCAACCGGATAATGTGTCGCTCCTCATCTGACTCTGGTACCACATAGATCCTCAGGGCTCCAACTTCTTGAGACAACTTCAAAACCTTTCACGCAACCTTGCTTGTATTTTCCAAGGCCTACCTCATTATCTCTCCTTGAGCCTCAATTGTCTCCTTAATCTGACGATGCATCTCTACATGTTATTGATCAGTTGAAGGTCTATTTTCCTCAAAATGATGAATGCACTCGTTGCACCTTTGCAGCATATTCTCTAGCTCAGTAATTCTAGCCTTTAAAGCTTCATTTTCATTTCAAACCATCTCTCTGGCTGATGCATGGATTAATTCACTTCTCTATAACTCCTCTATTATTTTCCTTAAAGTCTCATTCTTGTTGGAGAACCAAGCTATTGCCATTGTATGAGTTTTGGAAAGCTTATTTCAAGTTGACAATCTACGCTTCAAGTTGCTCGATCTGTACTCAGCTTTGACCCAGTTGACAGCTGATCCCACTTCATTGTTCTATTAGCTCATTTACTCGATAAATGGTTTCCTTTTTTTATCTTTCACTCTTTCTAGCATGTTCATTAGCTTCATCAAGCTTTATCTTTAGGGCTTTAGTTGTATGGTGGAGACCTTGAGCTTTCAAATTCTTTTCTAACTCCCTGTAGTCTCTATCCACAACATTAAAGCTTTCTTAAATCATTTGTTTCTTTTTGGTTAATTGCTTTATAACCCTTTCTCTCTTTACTACTTTGAGATCCCACATCAGTTCCTCATTAGAGAACTTTCGTTCCTCAATCTCTCTATCAATATTCATCTGCCTTATTTCTTCTTTCAGCAGTACTGCTTCAGTTAGAACTTTTGTCATAGTCAAAACATAGTCAAATCATCCTCCAAATTTGTCTTAGGAATGTTGTCATTTACCCATTTTTTCCTCCATTCATCGTATACTGGTGTAAACGTTGGTTCGATCATCTTGAAGTTGAGATAGTGTGGAGTACTCCAATCACGAAATATTTTTTAAACCCCCTATAGTTTACTATTGAAAAAGAAAATTCAACTTCTTTAAGCCTACGGGTAGTTAGAACAAATTGACAAGTACTGAACTGTCTAAGGACCAATAGATGAGTATAAGTAGTTGCTCCCCATAATCCGTCGAATATAACAAAATCATTATCTCTGTATCTATATAATATATCTTCCTTTGACAACCAATAAGCTATCCCAACCACTTCAATTTCTTTCATGTTTCTCATAGCCTCGATCCAATTTTTCTTTTTACGATGGTCAGGAATTTTGCAATGCTTAAGGAAGTCTTCTAAAAGGCGAAAAACCTTTTAGGCAAATTCGAGCCCATCATTTGCCTACCACCCAAGAATAACTCCACCACCAAGCTACATGCAAAGACACAGACCTAGTAAATTGTTCTATACCATATCGCTTACATTCATTTAAAGATCTGAATGTCTCTTCTAGAATAGTTTGAGTTGGATTTACTCCCCTTCCTAAAACTTCACATAAATCTATCATTGCGATGTCAATATGACCTAAATCTCATGGGAAAATTACCAATTCATGAGCTACTACAACAAATATATATCTTTTCTCTTTGACGGTGCTTCTTCATGAATCACCCTTTTCAAGTTTGCCCGAGAAATCCCATCGTTTTGGGTATGCTCTACTATCCACTCCTTTGGTGTTCTAGTGAGGGACGCGATTCTTATAACAAAGGCTTTTGGTCTAGTTGATTTGGTGTAAATTAAACATCTTACAACATCTGATACATTCAGTAAGGCATTATATTCTTCAATTGTTGGAGTTATATCCACTTTTCCAAAAGTGAAGCAGCTTTAAGCAGGGTTCCAACACTCAGACATGGATCGAATAACAACAACATTGATTGGGACCTTCATTAACTCGACTATGTCCCCATACATTTGCTTGAACAACATTTTCTCATTTTCCTCCCATTCTTCCCAGATTTGTAGAAGCTCTGACAAATAATCTAATCTAACAGTCAATGAAACTTTTTAAGGTAACTAGGAAACTTCCCCAGTAATGAGATTATCTCAAAACCTGACTTACTTAAATTTTGACCATGACTGAATCTCTAAAATTCACTCAATCCCATCGAAATTCATTGCCTATCTTTTAAGAATCTTCAAATGAAAACTAGATTATTTAAGAATCAATACCTTCTATGCCATATTTATGTAATGATAATGAAACATGTAAGGCAAAGAAACAAAATCAAATTAGTAACATAAAAAATAATTCAAAGAAATCCAAGCAATTATATGAACAAACAAACTATAAAAGCTAGAAATAAACACCCAATTTTACAACCCTAACTGTATGCATTCTAATTCTACTAGGGTTTCCACATGGCTCTAGTGAGTAGGTTTACTAAATTCTCTACATGAAGTTCGGTCCTAGAAAAGGTTTCCAAACTATCTTTACAACTTACTAAGGCTAATAAAGACTTCGATTCTGGCCCATTATAGACTTGTAAATCAAATTCAGTTTAGGGGATCACACCACTAAGTGAGTGTGTCGGAAACCAATATCTGGACAAACACTTAAAGTACTTTCCAAAGGTAATTTACCAGACCTGCCTGAGGAAAATTGATATCTCTCGGTGGTGTGACGTTTTCCCCTACTTAAATGAAACGAGACCAAGCTCATGTATAAAGCTATGATATGCAATAGTTTTAAATATATTTAATCAAGTGAAAGCATTAACCAGAGAGAAAAATATTTTTTCATTTTTAAAAGAACATAATGAATTGTAAATTAAAAAAATTTGAACTCAAAATTTCCAAATTCCAAATATAGGGTAATCGGCTCATGACTTGACTCTCAATTTTTGTTTTAAAAAACAAAAGTTCCTAGTGGAGTCGCCAAGCTATCGCAACTGACCATTCGAGGGAAAAACCGACTAGTTGTAACGATGGGTGTTTTGAAATGATTTTGAAATGAAATGTTGAGAGTCGCCACCAATAATTTTAACGAGCGATTGGAACACAAAAAATCGGGTAGTTTTAATAAAACAATTTGTTTTATCAAAAGACTAAATTTGGGTCTACGAAAACTAGAAAATAGGTTCGAGAGTCGGTTACGGGTGGAGAAGGGTTAGCACCCCCACAATGCCCAGAAATTGGTACCTATTCGATTACCCTATATTTAAAGTTTGAAAATTTTGAGTTCAAAGCTTTATTTATTCTAAAATTCACTATGGATACCAAGCCAAGTTTGGAAAAGGATGTTAGTTTACTAAGACCGATGACGACCACCTTCAAGCATGTTAATGTGAAAGCTTCATCATTGATAAAAGTAAACTAACATTGCCTTAAAGTTTGAGAAATCATATTTTGAAAAGGATGTTGACTTACTTCGGGAATTTCCATTGGTTACCCCTTGAGCATAACGCGGAGGATACACTATTAAATCCTTGATAAATGAACATTGCCTCGTAATTTAAAAATTATAATGTAATCATACAATTGTCTTATGTACCTAATTTAACTAGGTGGGTTAATTATTACTTTCACTAACCTAGAGTGTCCAATTATGAAATTAATGAACCTAAAGGACTAAACCTAAAAATAGATTCTCTAATATTAACCCAAGTTTATTTTAACCAATTATTCAATCGAATAATCGAAATAGTCCTTCGGGTATGTTAAATAAGGACGCCAATTCAGATAACTCCCTAAGTTAAAGGACTAAAGTGAAATCTATCCTAAAATGGAGATTCTAATTAATAACCTAATTATTTATGTAAAATAAATATCTAATTAAAAAGTTCAAGGACTATATTGTGAAAAGTCTAAAGGTAAGGCTCTAATTATTAACCTAATTAATTATTTATCAATTATTGAATCGAGTAATCGAAATGGTCACTCGGTCATTTTAATGCGAGGGACAATTCAAATTGCTCCCTAAATTAAAGGACTAAAGTGTCAAATATCTAAATCTAGTGTCAAACTCAATATCTAATTAATCTAATAAGGTCTAAATTATAAAAAAATTTAAATTAAAGGATCTATGCAAAGATTTAATCAACTAAAAAAAATAAATGAATATGTAAAGAAAACCAGTAACTACATGTTAGAGTTATACAAACGTAAATTTAATGGCTAATTAATTATTACAAATTACATTAATAAAATTATTAACAAAATATCTTTAGGACTAATTGAGAAAACATTAATCTAAAGACAAAACTAAAATTTACAGAATAGTTTAGGGAATAAATCTAAATTAATAAAACAAGTTCGTATGGTGACTAATTTAAAAAGAAATTAAAATTAAACACAACAATTAAGAATTATGACAGGGATTCAAGTGTAAAAATAAGCCAAAACTGGGAGGGCTAAAGTTTAATTTTACGCTTTTTATAAGCCTAAAATACCTTAGAAATTAAATATGAAATATTACACAATCAGGATATCAAAAATAAATAAAATGTGAAACGAACACTTCAGGTCATAATATTAATTTTTTTTAAAATAGGGACCTAATATTAATTTTACCCTAAATTTTCGATGACCATAAGGTAATTAATCCATAAACCCTAATATATACCCAATTTAGTGTTAGTCCTAATTTGAACAAAACCTAAACCGATTTGTTTCTTCTCCTCCCCCTTGCCGCCGAAACCCTAAGAACCACACTCCGTCCACCACACGAAGCGGTCCATTAAGCCAAAACCCGACTTTAGAGCCCTCATAATATCGATATAGCCTTCTAGAACCCCAATTCGGGATTAAGATCTCAAAAAGAGCCTCAAAACTCACCTAAATCTACCCCCCCTGTTTCGACCTCTTCGTATCTATGAACTTTGACCACCACCAGGGTGGTCGGGAACCTTAAACGACCTAAACCTACTCCCCTGTCACTTTATGACCTCGTAAACGCTCTCCTAATGACCACACAAACTTCTACAATTCGGATAACCCTAAACCTTCAACTACACGACGCTACCGAGGCCGGCGACGACGTAGACTCCGACAGAACTCACCAAGGAAGGTAACAAACTCTCTTTTCTCTATGTTCTCTTTTCTAAGAGGCCATGAAATGTTTGAATCAAAAGAAAAAAATGGAAAAAGAACGGACCTGAGAATATACCTCTGAAAGAAATGTTTCTATGCTTTGATTACTGTTCATTCATTAGGGTTTACATTTGGGGTTTATACCATTATTTTCTTTTTTATTTCTCCGTAAAAATACTGTAAAAAATCCATAAATCTTATCTCTATCCTCTTTTCTATGTGAAGAGGCTCAAATCTCCTGGCTGGAAGGTATTTGAATTGTACGAATGAAGAGGAGAGACTACAGTTGGAGTTGACGTGTTTTCTGGGAATCGGAGGTCCTTAATCCTTCTTGATGTATTGAGACCCCTGTTGACCAAGCTTTCGGCGGGATAATAACAAATTAAGGTTAGAACCCTAATATCTTTTGGGGCGATCTAGACCATTGATAGGGTCCAGATCTAAGGGTTCATACTTGGCGGCGCTGGAGTTGTTACATAGCTAGGGTTTGCCATTACAAAAAATATTTTGGCTAATTGGGCCTCGTTCTAGCTGATGGGTTGGGTATGCTGTGGTAACAGGTTAATGGGCTGTAAATAAAAAACTGTGTTGATGGACTTTAATAGGGACTGATTGGATTTAAGTATTTTGAGTTTTCAAGGCTTCGATAAAAATTGAATTCAAAAACTCAAAAGGAACATGTATGATCGTTAAGCCCAAATACAATTGTTTGCAGTTTCTTGAAGCTCACAAATTGTTTCCACTCACATCATGTTGTTCGCTCATGCACGAATACCCTTCAAACCATCTCTAGAACATTTTTAATCCAATTTGACCTCCTCGAAATTCATGGTCGCACGTATTACAATAAGTTAATTTTTTTTAAAACAAATAATACATTATAATCATCTATTAAAAATTGCTGTTTAAACAAAAATATCTTAAAATTTGAACTAGAAAACACCTTATCCTAAATTTGATCTCAATAAGTGAGGTGGGTTTGCCCAACCGATGGGGAAAAGCTCGATAAAATTTTTATAATTTCAAAAATTTTAAATTATCCCATTGTTTAAAAGGGTTTAAAATAAAACTGAAAATTAATAAAATATTAGAGACTGATTTTTCTATTATAATCGGAGGATATAAAGAATAAAAGTGCCTTATTTAAAAATTTTAAAATATTAAGATTAAAATTGTAAAAAGATAAAGACGCAATTCATAAATCAAAGGAATATTAAGGACTAATTATAATATTATGTCTTGAGAATATAAAGAATAAAAGTGCCTTATTTAATTTTTTTAAATATTAAGATTAAAATTGTAAAAAAAAAAAAAAAAAACGCAATTGAGAAATCAAAGGAATATTAAGGACTAATTATAATATTATGTGTTGAGAATATAAAGAATGAGAAAGACTTATTCTAGAAATTTTAAAATAATAAGATTGCTATGTAAAAAAATGAATATGAAATTGAAAATGTAAATGTAAACTTTTAAAATTAATCTTACTATTATATTTCACGAATTTATTATTATTGTTTTTTTGAAAACATCACATGTCAATCGCTTATTATAGGAATGTCTTTACTCTTTTAAAAATAAAATATTTAAATATTATATAATTTTTAAGATTGAAAATGAAATTAAAAAATAGTCAATTGATCTATTAGGATGAGACACTAGCTTTTTTAAGTAAGGATAAGAGTTCAAATTCTGATGACTGCGAATGTAGTAAACTGGATTGGAAAAATCGCATTCGTTGCTGCGGCAATACTAATCTCAATACTGGAACCTCTTCTATTTCTATTGCACATAAATACTCTTTATGTTACCACTTATATCTAAATAACTCTCTACTTCAAATAAATTGATTTATGTTAAAGACTTGATTAAGAGTGGTTAAGAATTATTTGGATGCAAACCAAAAATCAATTTATTTAAATGCAAAATAAAAATTAACTAAAAATAATAAAAATCAATTAGTGTTGTTATTTTGGCCTTTCATATAATGTTCCAAAGCTTATCAATCAGAAAGAAATTTGAAAATCAGTTAAAGAATATCATTTTAAAAATCACAAGAAGAAATTCATCAAAATCAAGGAAACTTGAATTTGAGTCAATCCCACGAGTAATGGGAAAAATCTATTAAGCATAATTTATGGAATTAAATTTCACAAATTTGAATTTTCAAAAGTTTGAGTTAACATAATCTCATACTAATGATTCCCTTAATAACCAACATATGAGAATGACCACAATAACGACTCTTATTAAAACCTAATGTGATTGTTGTAGAATTAACACGACCAATTGCCTTTATAGGGCATTCAACTGAGGAATACTATAAGGAACATCAAAGTATTAATTTATAAAGGCTAGAAAGGCATTAGTTTATCAAGGCAAGGAAAAGATCTATTGGATTGCATACGAACATTGTCTAAACATCAAAGGTAAAAAAATCTTCAAAACTCAGGAGACTTTCACTTATTGAATTAACAAAACGATTTATATGATGGTTCTAGATTTAGATCGATCACTTAAGAATGCCATTGATGAGATCAACTATCGAAATGACAAGATCTTAATGAAGTATTGAAGTCACAAATTTTGTGGAGACACCTATCACAAAGATTGCTACCCAAGGTAATATTCAGAACATACGATATATTAGAATCGAGCAAAAGATCACTCTTAAGAACATACGAGTTTTATGAAATTATCTCCTCGAGGGTCATTGAATTAGAGGAATAATATGCAGCTTTCTCCCACAATGGTTCGATTAGTTGACTATGATTCACATAAATGAAATTTTAAGAAAATTTTGACTTCTTATGATAACATTAGTGAGGATAATTTTTCTTTTACTACGCACTCTAATATTCAAGACACATTCGAGGGAGAAAATTTAATCTCACTTACGTTCACAATATTGACTAAAGGAGAATAGTCGAATCAAATTTTAATCTAATAAATTCCTCATCTCTCTGATGGGATTAAACTTCCACCCATATCTATCTCTTTGGCACAAATCTTATCTTTCTAGTCTTACTGTAACACTTTCTACACTTCTATTTTAGTACTTTTATTCACATATTCAGAAAACATTTTTTAACTTTATCCACGAGTTAAAACTAGATTTCTCTCTCAAACCTTTCATAATATATTTTAACACATGATACGTAAAACTCACTGGAGTTCACATTCTCAAACTAGTCACCTCAAAATTTTCTTATAGGTTAGTCGTTATTACACATTTATTTAATTAATGCTAACACATTAACTTACCAATCAATGATGGATGAACGATATTCTGCGAGTACAATTGCAACATTTGAGGGCATGTAGGACTTGACAAGGTTAAACTAGAACCGAATAAACTTTAGCTCAGATACCACTAAATGGAACACCCAAATCCTGAATATTCGAGTATCACACGTAATCACCGAAGTGACTAACCATTTTTTCATTTGAAATCATACTCACTTTTAAAACATTTACGTAAAGTATGAAACCATAATCATTTACAAAAATGAGGCCATTTATAAACTCAATAAATAAAAATAAATAATCAAATATTATAAGTTGACTCATTTTAAATAATGATCTCTACGTACCCACTAATACGTCATCATTATACTTGGTTACTCCTCCAGCTCCTCTAATGATATCGTTGTCCCACCTGTAACACCCCATACCTGATCACTAAGAAATACATGGGTACTTGAGCGTACATTAGATGATCTTTTTGGACAGAATGAAAACCCTAAATTATGCATCTATGTGAAAGAATTCACAATATAAATCATACATCATACATTACATGTTAACGAATATCAATGAATAATTTAAAGTCTCGAAACATTTTGAACAATACAGGATAATCGCAACCAATTAATCAAGATAAATATGTCATTTTCATAACTAAACAATCACAATGTGAAACACCAAATTAATATTTTCAATATTCATTATTAATCTTTAGTGATTGATATGCAAATTTCTAAATTAATCGGATATCAAACAGGGACTCAATTAAACATATAATACTAGAGACTAAATTATAAATAATTCAAAAGTCACATTCAAGCAATAATCATGCAATTGAAAACTTCATTATGTAATTAATTATATTTAAGAGTGAAAACTCAAGTTTTATCAAATTGCAAGTTAAGGTCTAATATTAAGTAGAAAAATCAATTTTTGGACCATTTTTGAACTTATATAAACATCTTGGGGTCAAACTAAGACTTTGGGATACTTAGGGCCTTTAATGAATGCAATTTTAACAATTTTCATCGAGCACACAATGAAGGGATCAAGCCTTTTTCACGAGAGATCGATTCTTTGTAAAAGAATGAGTTTGGGATCGATCCTTCTAGCCAAGAGATCGATCATATTTTTGGAAAATTTCAGAATTCTCATGAACATGCATAAATGAGTTGCTTTTATACCACATCATACATGTAAAAATAAACTTGTAACATACTTTATAACACAAGTCACAACATCATACAAGAATGCTGCATCAAAAGTCAAACATTGCATAAAATTTCACTTTTTACACAAGTCGCCTAGTCCAATTATGCATTTGGGGTTATTTCATGAATCCTAAGAGTCTAGCACATTTAGTACACTTAGTGTCACTTTTCTAAACACATCGAACACTTTCTTAAAGAAAAAAATCAACGTTTGGTTAATTTAATGTTCATATCTACCAACAAAATGAGTTCATCATTCCAAATCTACCCATTTAGAAAAATCCAACACAAAACCAATGGTCCATACATCATGCCATTCTTATTACAACTCAAAATATCAATAATGGTCTAAGTCCTGAAATGATTCCCATATTGCCACTATATGGATTTAAACCACATACACTTTGTTCAGTAATGCCTTGCTTGACCACTCTGGATGCTTGATCCTCGCCTCTGACTTGGCTACTAAAGCTTTGAAAATTGTTAAACATCAAGTGTGACCTGAAAAGCCCAATGAATAACTAACATTCTAGGCAATGCCAATTCCAAAGCTAAAGAAAAGCCATATATGCAATGACTCCTCACTTATTTTTACCTCAACATTTATGCCATCATGTCATGCTTTTATGTTCACATATTGCATCTTAAATGCACACAAAATCTAGAATATACATTTACCATTCAACATCATATGTCCAACCGCAAACACATACACTCATTCACAATTACCTCTTGGCAAGTCACATACAATACACACATTGTTTTAATTAAAGATCAAAGGCCTTTTGTTCGAAACACAACTTACTCATTGGATAAACGGGCTCCATGCAACTCCTTTTTAATTTTGGACTAACTTAGGTCCAAAACCCACGACAATGCTCAATGCACCAACCTTTCCCTGTATAAACCAATATAAATTACATTTATAAAAAACACATAGATTACTCTTTCCTAGGCATGCATTTCATATCCAAAGGTTTTATTAAGAACAAGTTGCCAATTAAACCAAGTACAAAAGAGTGATTGTCAAATGATACATAGTTTTCACATTTTCACTTTCAAAATACACTTTGAAACACTCATCGGATATGGTTGTCATGATCAACCTAATATGGACAATGAGATGCTCACTCATACATTCACGCTTTCACTTATACACTTTCAAATTCGCTTTTAAAACCATTATGCTTCAGTTGGAATACATACCTAATTCACAATACAAATCCACATTTCATATAACATTCCATGTCAAACATGTGCATCAATA